GTCATTGAGTGCTGTCCACATGACAAAGAATTGCAGAACAGACCTTTTAATGCCTGTATTTAACAGATGTTTCATGTGTGTGCTTGTACTTAAATTGTTGAAGGAGAAAGGATCACTAAAATACTATAATTTTTATGTATTCTCTAATCCCACCCCCCAATGCACTTTTTAAAATGTAGTTAAGTGTAGTATTTTTCTTTTCTGCTGGGGCTTTCCAAAGACTTGAACTCTTGGAATCTCCTTCTGGACTCTTACTTTGAAATCTTAAGTTTAGGAAAAATTGTTCAGTGGTATAAACTAGACCTATCCATCAAAAGTATCTTGCCTGGGCCAGGGATTAGCTCAGTGGTTTTGCCGCCTGCTGCGCAAGTGCAAGGACCAGAGTTCGATCCCCGGTACCAAAAATAAAAAAAGTATCTTGTCTTACTTTAGAAAGGAAGTATATTTTATCAAATGAGAATTTTAATTTTATAGTCTTCTAGTTAAAGTTTGATTAAACCAATACAAAGTGGCAGTCTACTCTTCAAGGCATGTATAATATGTATAGTTTTAGAAAACCCTACCATTTTGTAGCATGGATTGAATTTGTTAATTCCTACAATTGATTCTGGTTGCGATTCTTGGCATTTGTTGCAGGTGGATATGTTGAGTGAAATAAACATCGCACCCCGGATTCTCACCAATTTCACTGGAGTAATGCCACCTCAATTCAAAAAGGATTTGGATTCCTATCTTAAAACTCGATCACCAGTCACTTTTCTGTCTGATCTGCGTAGCAACCTACAGGTTAATTGGTTTGGCTTAAGCTGTTTCCTGTGTCTTCCATAGAAAGCACTCCCTATGTATCATCCTTTGTTTGGTCCATTTCAGAAGTTAGTCTTTTCACCCCAATTTAAAGATTTAGAAACCATACTGTCCTGTTATTTGGGTGAGCTTATAACTTTAGACAACCTGGGAAGGTGAAATTCTATAAGGATAGATTAAACAGTCATTCTGTGTTTGCACCCCAAGATTTTCCTAGGTAAATGGATTCGGGTTTAATTTGCCATGTAGAATAACTCGAAATAGGATTATCTTAGCAATGTTTCCACACCTTACAACTAAAACTTACTCCAAATCTTTATCATTATTGGGATAGTATGTGTATTTCGACTTAGCTTTACTTCAGAGTTATGTCATGAGCACAGTGATGACATTTGCTTGGGTTCCCAAAGGAACTTGTGTTTCTCTTGATAGAACCACTCTTGGAATGGATATGTATTTGTTAAAATCACCTCATTTAATCAATCACAGTTCCTTATTTGGGAGGGTGGGTAAGGAACTGGAGATTGAGCTCACACTGAGCTACACCCCCAGCCCGTTTTATTTTTGAGACAGGGTCTAGCTAAGTTCCCCAGGCTGGGCTCAAATTTGGGATCGTCCTGCCTCAGCCACCCAGGGTGCTGGAATCACAGGGTTAGGGATCACAGGCTTGCACTGCTATGCCAGGCTCAGGTACCGACATTTAGATAACAACATTGAGAGCTGTTCACCCTTTCTTTGAAGCTCTGTGGGAATAAGTTTCCTATTTTGCTCTTTTAGGTATCCAATGAGCCTGGCAATCGCTACAACCTTCAGCTTATCAATGCACTGGTGCTCTACGTAGGAACTCAGGCCATTGCACACATCCACAACAAGGGCAGCACACCTTCCATGAGCACCATCACTCACTCGGCACACATGGACATCTTCCAGAACCTGGCTGTGGACTTGGACACTGAGGGTGAGTGGAGCTGCCAGTCTGTTGAGTTAAGACCATTGTCCCTTTTGTCACAATCCAGTCACAAAAACTAAAAATTGCGGGCCGGGGATTTAGATCAGTGGTGCTGCTCCCTGCCTCATAAACACAAGGTCCCAAGTTCAATCCCGGGTACCCACCCCACCGCCACCCCCAATTGCTGTAAGCCACAGGCAAGAATATTTATAAGTCTGGCTGGTTATCTTTGTATGTTCAGTGAAAAAACAGCAAAGCATAAAGGAAAAAATTACCCAAAATCTTGCTGTTTCAATTAATATTTTGGTGTATAATTATGGTATTTTCATATAAAAATGAACATGCTGTTTTTGGTAGTCTGTTTAAACATAGGTTCATGTTACATAGTTTTAATTGGCCTGTTTTCTTCAACACTGGTACTCACCGCCAGGGAGCATGTTAAATGTGAGTTGTATGAAGATTAGTTAAGATTTCCCTCCCTCTTCTATAGGAAATTCAACAGTAGAACTATTGCAGTTCACATCTTTCCTGGTTGAGCTACACTGCCTTAGGTGCTCTATATTTATTCTTAGATAATAGAGATCTCAGCTAGGTGTTAACCAGCTATAGTCCTCCTTAACACAATATAACTTTAGTAGAACTTCTAATTTTGCTATGGACACTTTAGAGGCTAATTAATCTTGAGTGTATATACTGCTTTCCTGTTTTTAGAAGGAATTTGTGATAGCTTAAAAATCAATTTAACAAAACATACTACACCCAGACCTCAGCAATAAAGAGAAGGCAGGACAGCCTTTAGGGTCACTGATAACTTTACAAACACAAATAATATTAAATAAAGGTAGATAACCAAACCCAGCTAATAATATTAATTCCCAAAATAGTTCTTTAAAATGATTTGAGAATCATTCAGGGTGTCCTCAAGAACCTTTCAGGAGGTCTATGAGGTCAAAACTATTTTCATAATAGCAAGGCACATTTACTTTTATTGCTCTTATTCTGTTATAAATAAGAGGAATTTTCCAGAGGCTACATGAATTACAGTAGTGCAGCTTACTAACTGCAGAGGCAGAAATGAGAATCTGTCCTTTTCTATTGTGACATTAAAGAAATTTACAAATGGTAAAAGTGACACTGTTGGCTGTTTTTTTTCAGAAAATTTTTTTTGGTACCAGGGATCAAACCTCTAGTCCTTGTGCCTGTGCAGCAGACAGTGAAACCACTGAGCTAAATCCCCGGCCCTTCAAAAAATATTTTTATTAACATTTATGTTAATATATAGTGGGTCTTTTTTTTTTAAATGAGTATTTTTGAAATATTACTTTTAATTTCTAAACATGGGAAGTACAGCAGTAAAACCCATAGACAAGTCTATGGGTCCTGAGAAACTATAGGGTAAATAGAGCAATCTGAGAGGCTGTATCATAAACCCAAACCCTAGGCAACAGTTTGTCTTCCTGTGTTGGACTTTCAGAGCAACTCCTTACAATGTTTTAATTTCTAGGTCGGTATCTCTTCTTGAATGCAATTGCAAATCAGCTGCGGTACCCAAATAGCCACACTCACTACTTCAGCTGCACCATGCTGTACCTTTTTGCAGAGGCCAACACTGAAGCTATCCAGGAACAGATCACAAGGTAAGAGTTTATTTTTCAAATTCATCAAAAACGGTTACTCTATGGGCTGAAGATTTAGCTCAGTGGTTTCGCCGCCTGCTGCGCAAGCGCAAAGACCCTAGTTTGATCCCAGGTACCAAAAAAAAAAATGATTATCCTATACCGGGGTGGCAAACTTACGGCACAACTTATGGCATTGGACCACAGCAGGCTAAATTTGTATCATTGAAAGCTCCAAAAAGTTCACCATCACTGCCCTATACCATTCATTTTGAATTCTTAAAACAGTTCTTTGGGCTGGGTATTTAGCTCAGTGGTCCCGCCACCTGCCTCGCAAGTGCAAGGTCCTGAGTTCAATCCCCAGTACCAAAAAAAAAAAAAAAATTAGGAAGAGTTCTTTCTATGCGTTGTTTGGTAATGCTGTGTGGAGTATGGGACACAGTTGTGTACAAAATAGAGATGTTTCCTCCTAATACTTAGTTACAAGTACAGAATCATAAGCTGTAATCATTGTTGTAACTATTTGTTTTTGTGACACCGGAGACCAGAACAGCTTACATTAACTGACAGCTTCTCTCTGAGGTGGTGGCAGCGGCAGTAGCTGATGCCATCCCTGTATACACCCCCCCACCAATTTTGCCTTACTGGGGATTGAACCCCCAGGGCCTTTGCACTGGGTCAGGCACAAGTGCACACATAAGTGTGCACCACCAACCCCTTTTAAATTTTGAGACAAGGTCTTGCTAAATCCCCAGGTTGGGCTCAAACTTTTGACCCCCTCCTGTCTCAAGCCCTCTAAGTGCTGGGATTATAAGCATGTGCATCCTCACCTTTACTCTGAACAGCTTTCAGATACTCATACCCTTTGTCAATAGTGAACCTTTGGGCTCGGCCAGGATTCATACTTACATATTCTAACCAGAATCCACATGCATTAACCATGCTATCTGTATTACAGAGATTAATTCACTTTTTGTAAAGGTAAGCACTTTTTAAAGTGCCCTAATAGTCAAGAAAAAGGGGGGAAAGGTAAAGGAGCTGTGGTCATCAGTTTGTTTCTTTGTGTGTTAATTAACCCTTTCTTTCTTTCTCCAGGGTTCTCTTGGAACGGTTGATTGTAAATAGGCCACATCCTTGGGGTCTTCTTATTACTTTCATTGAGCTGATTAAAAATCCAGCATTTAAGTTCTGGAACCATGAGTTTGTACACTGTGCCCCAGAAATTGAAAAGTGAGTCAAAAGTAACTTTTTAATTATTGAGCAGTGAAACACAAGATTGAGCATGAGTTAATATCTTGTTTGGTTCTATTATTTAGAAGATACTGCTCTAAACCTTGTTCATGAGTACATTTGTAATTGTCTCCATTCTTTAGGTTATTCCAGTCGGTTGCACAGTGCTGCATGGGACAGAAGCAGGCACAGCAAGTAATGGAAGGGACAGGTGCCAGTTAGATGACCTGTATCTCCACTGTAAAGGTGTCAGCCTTGCAGTCCCACTGCACCAAGTTCATAAACTGAAGAATCCTTTCAACTTCCTGACTTTCCCAGCCCTTTGGTTCTCGGGTGTCTGTCCCACTTACTGTTGGGGTCAGCCTCCCGTTTAGGTGGGCACGTTCCAAAGTTTAAATGCATTTTTTTGACTCTTGGCCAAAATTTAGAACATGCTGTGAATATCACTTTGAATTGTGTAAATATATGAAAAAGAAAACCTTTGTCTGGAAATTGAGTCTGTACAAAATGTATTCGAGGCAAGTACATAGAGGCACCTGGTGCCATGCACTTGTCTGGGGGCACAGCTCCCTGTCTTCTGACATTCTCAGTGTCACAAAGGATAGCAAAAAACAGTTTAAATATTGTGCAAGGTATTTTTTAATGTAAAGGACCTTAAAAATCCTTAAATTATTAAAAATGTGAATGCGTTGGAACATGGGAAGGGCTCACATTGAGATCCCACAGGGCTTTGCTTACCTTTTCCCAAAGCTGATCTAAAGGTGCCCACTTTCTGATCCTGCTGGAAAATCTGCACCTTGGTTCCAAACCAGGCTTAAAGCTCCCCCATCACTCATGCTACTTGGAAACTAGAGAAAGGAAAAAAATCTTACACGTCTCCCATATCACTCTGCTTGTGCCATACAGCCAATGTTAAACAGAAAAGTCAACCAGACCAATACAGTCCCTTTTGTAAGGATTTAAACGTTTCATGAGTGTATTGGTCCCTGTTTTATTTTGTGGCTTTTGTGGTTTCCACACTTACATGTGAAGTCAGATGTGCATGTGAGTCCATCATGCCTTTTCTCGGTAGCAGCAGCCAGTGCTGGTGAAGGAAAGTGGACAGCCGAGTTGCAGAGAGCCCAGGACCACTGGGAGACCCACTTCAGGCTAAACCACACTTTCCCACTAAGTCAGCAGTGTTTAAACAAGGAAATTACTTTTATATAGTATTTCGACAACAAACCCCACTATGGGTTTTCTATGGTCATACTGGATTTAAAGACACCAGCCAATAATTTTTCTTTTAAAATAGGTATTAAAGCTTAATCTCAGTTATAATTTACCATTACTTTTTTTGGCACTGGGGATCGAACTTGGGTTCTTGCACTTGCGCAGCAGGCGACAAAACCACTGAGCTAAATCCCCAGCCCTAATTTACCATTACCTTTGATGGTAGTCAGGTTTTATGGCTAGGGAGGACAAGGTTTCAAAATTAAACAATTTCATATGCGTGAGGTTTGAATGTCCTTAGTGTCTTTGGGTTTCTTCTTGAATGGTAACTGTGCCACCCAGTGCAAACTTCAGAGTGATTAGACAACCGAAGCTACAAGTACAGCAACCAGTGACTCCAACCCAGTGCTGATTATGTAGCCTTTTCTTTCCAGGAAATGGAGGCTTCTCTCAAAACAGACTCAGGTTTGAACCATGTCTTCACCCAGAGCCCATGCTATTAATACCTGGCTATAGAAGAACACCACAGCTATAAAAGCTCTTGTTCTTGGGGCCTGGGATTTAGCTCAGTAGCACTGTGCCTGCCCCAAAAGCACAAAGTTCTGAGTTTGATCCCCAGTACCTCCCCACCCCTCAAAGCTCTTGTTCTTGCTGACCATGATGACACATGCCTAGAGCCCCAGCACTCAGGATGAAGCAGGCAGAAAGCTCATAAGCTGGAGGTCAGCCCATATTACATGCCCCCTAAGGTCACTTTAAATAACAACTAGCAGCGATGCCCAAGTCTGCTGACTAGCTTTACTTTAATCACCCTCACTTTAGAGTTAACACCATTGCTACTTTCCCTTTGGGTATTTAATAAAAGCAAAAGGTCCAGACTTTCCTTTTTCAGCAGCTTAGGATGATGTTCTTACTGCTTTTCCTTCAGGCAGCAAGAACTAACTTGTCAATGCCAACAACTGATGTAAGATCATCTTCTGTCCATAGCGAACCTGTAAGGCCTGCTGTTCCCTCCAGCTGAGTTTGGCATAGGCCTCCTTGTTACTGAGGATATCTTGGTCAGTTTTTAAGTCTGTGGTGTAGGTCTGTAAGGTCAAAAGAACACTGTCTCGAAGCAGCTGTCTCCACGATGCTTTGAGTTTCGGGATACTGGTGATGGTCAAGCTGTTCTCTTCCCTTTCATTCTTTCCCCATACATCCCAGTTCTTAAAAGCTCTGAACTCCTCAGCAGGCATACACAGTACCTAGAAGCAAACATGGGGCCCTTCATCATGATGGGCTTAGCTGTGATTTCTGAAGATTCAGAGACACCACCACCCCCTTGGGAGCGTCAAGATGTCCTCCGCATCTCCCCATTCCTCTCTCACCTACCTTTATTTCATTCTAGTTCATCTATCAGCATCACACAGCCGTTCACAGCCCTTACCTTGAGTGTGGTGGTCAGCTCCTCTTCAGTCAGCACCTCCTCACGTCCAATCACGAATGCCCCCTCTTCCCCTACCATCTCCATTTTGCATAAGAAATCCCAGCGCTCAAATAGGAGGAGCCTTTCAGCTTCCTCTTTCACTCCTATAAAGTGACAGGGAAAATTTCAGTATACTTGAGGGCTCGTTTCCAAGAAGCTAACTGCTATTCAGCAGAGCTATTGCAACCAAAAGTCAAAGACTGGGTTGGGAAACTCACCCTGTAAGGCTGCTTCACGAACAGTCACCATCTGAATGTCAGCTGTGTCATCTGTGTTGTCAGGATACGGCTCAACAAAACCATACATATGAATCAGCTGCCAATTAGCCATTTGCCCATAAGTGTTGAAAATCTCATGGCCTTTAGGAATGGACCGAGTAGCCACCATCCGAAGGTAATCCTGGGATGAAAGGGAGAAGCTGGGGCCACACTTCCCAGGCCATTCCTGGCAGGATGGCTGCCTTAGGAAAAGCTTTCCACAGGTGTATTCAGCCACGAGACTCGTGCTACATCTATACTGTTCTATCTTTAGTTCCTGTCAGACATTGTGCTGTAGAACAAAAGGGGTTAGCTTCAGGTACTAACTAGGTCCATCTCTGCTCAGTCATGTTAGCACTTTAAAAGCCCATAGCTTTTTAAGAAGAGCAATAGGAGCAAAGCCCAGATAAGAGGATGGGCCTGGGATTTACCTCAGTGGTTCTGCCACCTGCCTCACATGCATAAGGTCCCAAGTTCTATCCCCGGTACCAAAAATTTAAAAATACAGTAAGGATTAAGTTGGGTATGGTGGCACATGCCTATTATCCCAGCACTTGGGAGGATGAGGCAGGAGGACCCCAAGTTTCAGTCTAGCCTGGACAATTTAAGAACATTGTCTTTATTTTTGTTTTTGGTACCAGGGTGAACTGAGGACCTTGTGCTTGCAAGGCAGACACCAGAACCACTGACCTCAATCCCCAGCCTGGAACATTGTCTTTAAAAGGCGCTATGGATGCAGCTCAGTGAGAAAGCTGGGTTCGGTCTCCACTACCTCCCCATGATGCAAGGATTAAGAAATTAATGGCTACGCTAATTTTTAATACCATAAATGTATACTTTTCTCACAATTTTCCATACGGAACAGAACCGACAGTCTAAAAACGGTTATCTTAGACCTCTGGTCTTAACATTGCCACACCTTTCTCCTGAAAGGACTGAGACTAGCAGTTCTTTGCTGTTATCCACAGGGCCAGCCAAGTCTTGACACACTCCCCTGTCAGAACAGCTAGTGGGGAATGAAATATGTCTGTGCAAACCACCCAACACAAGTTCCAAAGAAATGATGGTAACAAGTTTGTCACAGGATTGGGCTTTTTTTTGGCGGGGGGAGATAGGGTCTCATTGTGTAGCTCAGGCTGGGCTAGAACTCTCAGCTATCCTCCTGCCTCAGCCCCTCAGAGTGCTGGGATTACAGGTGTGTGCCACCACTTGGGGCAGGCCGCCTCTTTTGAGACAAATCCCACTCTAGCCCAGGGTGACCCTGGACTCTGGGTCCTCCTGCCCTACTAGCATGGACCACCACACCCGGTTCTAGCCTATGTTCAAATGATTTCAGGTAATGTGAATACCAAAAGTACAGGAGGAGCTAACTTCACCTCATTTTTAGAAGTAGGAAAGCAGAGCCCAGTGACAACAATGGCTTGACTCAGGTGCCCAGTCATCAAGGCAATAACAAGAACTAGGTGGGATCCACTCACTGCAGAGTACTCTAGATTGGCATTGTGATTGGCTAAGTGGTTTAGTATGTCTGCTGCAGGCACCATCAAAGGGGAGTTTGGCTCCTTTTCCTCCTCTTCTTCCTCCAGGGGTTCCTGAAAGCTGCCAAAGAGAACTTGGCTAAGGCCCAGGCTTAAGTGAAGCACTAGGGTGTACACTCAGCTCCACACCCCAGTCCCTCAATAGAGTTCTAAAAATAAGGGCCGAGTCCTCCGAGCCTTTACTGACTGACCTATAGGCCATCACAAGGGCCACGAGCTGGCGATAGAGTTCCAGGGAGCGGACACTGGGACCGAACAGGTCTGGATGGGCTTCCATGAAGGGCAGCACGATGGCGTAGTACTCGCCGCGGATGTTGACCAGATCCTTGTCCACAGCCTCGGGGACACCGGTGCCCTGCAGCAAGCGCCGCCGCTCCTCCTCAGGCCTGTGGGGACAACCCCGCCCCGCTCCCGTCGCACTCTACCGGTCTGGAGCTTGGGGGCACCCACGCTGGGTGGCTGAGCAGGCTGCTAACCCAAGTGCTCCCCAACCCCTCCCGCGGCGCTCACCAGAACATGGGGTGCTCCAGACGGCCCAGCTCGGGCCAGAGCGCAAAGTAGGGGCTCCAGGGTGAGGCTGGAGCCTGCAGTTCGTGGAGCAGCGCCATCAGCAGCGGCACCCAGCCCGACTGGCTCTGCAGTACGTCTCGCTCTGGGGGACGACACGAGGGTAAGCGTCCCGGGCGACCCGCGGCCAGCCCAAGAATCCAGCCCGCTCGCCCGCGCTCACCTCGCTCCAGGAGGCCGCCGATAGAGCAGGTGTGCGGGGACAAGAGCGCGGCCCGCGGCACCGCGAACAGCAGCTCCCCGGGCTGCACGCTCTCCCGGGCCACCATTCCGTAGCCGGCCACTGTGCCCTGCCTGCTCACTGCCACCTGCGCCAGGGGGGAGTCGGGTCAGAGCGTCGCGCCCGCCGCCCGTGGTCCCCGTCTCCCCGTCCCGCTCACCTTGGGACTCAGCTCCAGCCCCACCCGCCCGCACCAGCTCAGGAAGCCGGCCACCGGGTCGGGTTCCTGCTCGCCACCGCCCGCGGCCCGCGCTGCCTGGGAAGAGGGCGCGCGTGGGGGGCTGGCGGCAGCGCAGGGAGGCCGGCGGGAGGGGCCGAGGGCATGGGCTGGGGGCCCCGGCGCCGGCCGCCCGCTACTAAGCCTTGCGCGCTTGGCCCGAGTCGCCATGCTCCAAGCGCGCTTCCGGCAGCTCTAGCCCCGCCCCTGCAGACCGCACGGGAAGCACGTGGGGCGGCCTCGGCGTCCGCACGGAAGGGGAGGGGTGGCTCCTCCTCCACAGCGTCCTTTTTCACTCTGGTGTTTCTAGTTGGCTTTAGAAAACGGTTATTTGAAAAACTCGTGGTCGCTTGCTTCCTCATACCTGGCTCACAACCAGCTGTCACTCTCCCTCCCATTTGTCCCTGAGAGTTGAGACTTCTTGGGTGCAAGTTTGGGTGCGAGGACAAAATTGTTTCCCCCCAGGCTTGGCTGCTGTCCAGTGGGGAGCGCGCCCAGGAGGGCGGCTCGCCGCTTTCCCGATCTCGACCTTCATTACCTATGGTCATCTGACCGCTTCACGCTGTGTTCCCTCAGAGCACTTTGCGTGCTTGGGTCTAGAACAGGCCCCTCTACACACATTTGCTTGTTCGTCCGTCTTTCATCTGCTTACAACCTGGCGTGTTTCATTTCCTCATTAGCTGACACACGGGAAGGACTCATTATGTGTCTAGTAAATGAATAAAGAATGAAACAAATAGTGGTTAAACATGGGGAAATAGCATGTTCGTTCTATTTAAGAAAACAAGGCCCGAATAGAAAGGTTATGGGGAGGGGTTTTGAACCAAACAATGCCCTAGTTGGATCTCTTCTTGGTGCAAATCCTCTGTCCTAAAGCTCGGTTTTCTCAGTTGTGAAACATCTAGTCCGTAGAAGCGGAGTCAGGACTGGTAAGATGAGGTGTGTGACAAGCACCGGAAATGCAGACCTGCCCACCTGCGCCCCCAGCCCCTCTGACACGCAGCAGCCCTCCACAGTCTGCCCCTTCCAAAAGGGCACCACCGCAGTCGCGCTCTTCTTAGTTTATTAGTTTTTCAGCACAGTTAACTTTCTACATTGACAAGGGTTTTTGTTTTACATTTTGTCATCTCAAAATCTAATAACATCAACTACCAGAATACACAAAAGTAGGCTAACTTTGTACAGAGAGGAAAATAATAAACTCCATTGAAAGTTCACCTTGACCAAAGAAGAGACAACCTCTGAGGGAAAACCACAGGCAGGAAGACCCAATATACATATATTTATATAATGTATAGATATTTATATATCTCATCTGAAAGAACACAGCAAAAAAAGGAAAAAAACAGTACTCGCAGTGCTATCTACAGTAAGAGGGGTTAATTCTACCAGCTTTAAAGTCACATTCAATATTCAAAGGAAGCACGTGAGTGAGCAGAACCGGGGCAGACTACACTCCACCAGGGCCTCCGTCTAGCCATTGCTTAACATCATGGAAGGGGTGACACGTGCCAGTGACGTGGATCTGGGTGTCCTCTCAGCCTCAGAACACCCCCCACCCTCTCCCCACCTCCACAGCCCTTCAGTTTTTTCAGCGCTTTCTTCCTGCCATTTGGGGTTTTGTGATAGTTGATTTAGGGTCTAAGACAACTGGCTCTGGTTTCTGGCTGTCAGGGACAGAAATAAATGGCACAGTCCTGGGCTTAGGTGGCAGGAGGGGGCTGGGGTGTGTGAAGCCTTTCTCCCCTACCTGGCCCTGTTCACTTCAAGAACCTTCAGCCCCCGCCCCAGGACTCAATGAGCCCCAGCCATGGCCCCTCTAGCAGCCTAGCTGCTGCCCAGGGCTGGTCCCTCCTGGGAAACTGACCCCCTCAGTGCTGCCGCTGCTGAGTGGCCACCCTTTGGAAACCCAGGCAACTAGGTCTACAGGAGTTTTCAGCTATCCTGCCTCTGGCCCCCTGCTGATTTCATAGCAGTCACCCTGAAGTCCTCAGAGGTACACGTGTTATCCAAGAGCAACCCCAGCCTTTCCCTCTGCCCCCAGCCAAGTCACTAGGGAGAGAGGACCAAATGACTTCTGCCTCAGGGAGACCTTGGCTCAGAATGGGACAGGGCCAAGAGGAGGCCGAATGTGTGGTTCTATCTTCAGCCCCCACCTGCCCAGCTCCACAGCACCAGCCAGCCCACAGTGCACCAGAACAACAGCTGTGAACTGTGGCTACAGTGCAGGTGGCCATCACCTATGCTACCCATCAGAACCCCATGTGCTTGGGGGGTTGAAGGGACAGACAGGGTCTTCGGTGCCCCAGCTGCTATCTCCAGGTTTCTGCATCAGGGTTGGAGCCCAGCAACAATCATCTCAAAACCCCATCCATCTTCCCCCTCCTGCCAAGGGCTTTAATTTGGGGGTGATCCTGGCCCAGGAAGGACTCCAGCTCTTTCCTTAGCCACCCCTCCTGCCCTGCCCAAGGTGGCCATAACTGTGCCTGGGCCGTGGGGCTGGACGAGAGGGGCCAAGGCAGTCAACACCGTGAAGGAGATGGGTGGGGGAGCCCCTCAAACCATCTGAAGACTGTTCTGCTGCAGCACCCAAGGTGGATCCCTCATTTTTTTTTTAAACGAAAAGAGAAGTGACTCCAATTCCTCCTGTTCACCCTCACAAAAATAAAGGGAAAATGAGCTGGCACAGGGATGGCAGTGGGGCCTTGATGTGGGCGGGAGGGCAGGTGAGCATCCTGGGCAGGACCAAGGGCTTCAGCAGGACACCTCCATGGTGTGGTTGACCTGGCCCAGCCCCTCGCTGCTCTCCAAGTGGGTGCAGGGCTGCGGGCGGCTGCCATCCACAGAGCTGGCACTGGTAAGAGATGCGGTGCGGGAGCGTGCCAGGCGGGTCATGCTGGCAGAGGGCACTGTGGGCAGAAAAGGAATGGGTGTGAGGACTGGCAGGTAGGGCCTGGCACTGGCAGGTGGGCAAAGGATAAAGCAAGCAAAGCGGCCAACGAAACCAATCTTCCAGAGACACAAGGCCCAGCCCAAGCCAGGGCACCGCGTTGGCTCCATCAAGCCCGAGGCATGCAGGGCCTGTGCTGGCCAGGCAGCCCCAAGCTGGCGCAGGGCTGTGCTATTCCCAGCATGGCCTCCCACAAGAGGATGACAGGGTGGGGAAGCAGCACTGCTCTTGGTGTCATGGGCACAAGCTGCCCTCAATCCCATTTCAGCCCTTTTAGAGTTTTGCAGGTGAGCTGTGTGGTGCAAACTCTACTCTCCTGAACTAACCTGTCCACCAGTTTGGCCAGGCCAGGGCCAAGCCTGACTGCCCAGAAGGCATCCGAGGAGCTTGTGCTTCCAACTCCCAGAGCTCTAGGAGCCCCTGAGCCCCTGACAACCTAGGAGCAAGACCCAATCTCTAAGACCTAATCTCAAGCCACTCAGCAGGACCAAGTCCCCAGCATTTGAGGAAGAGCAGGAATCCTGTGGGCTTTTGAGTTGAGCAGGACACAAGAAGTTTCAAAACCATAGCAAGATGCATCCTGGCTGCAGCACTGCACAGAGAAGGAGCAGGGCAGAGGCTGGAAGGGGCAACCATGCATTGGGAGAGGGGTCTCAGGGCTACCTGCTCCTCCACTCAGCCTTCGGTCCTTCAAGTATGCAACTGAGAGAGAAGACAGAGCCAGAGTGGCGGGGGCAGGGAGACACAGAACACAGTGAAGATCTTGGCCAGGTGAGGCAGGGACATTGAGATGGGCCAGAGATGAGTGGACAAGCAGAGAGAGGGCCTGGTAGGGCCGAGCCTCAGGAGCCCACGCCTGCCCACCCACCCAAGGACCCTCTGGAGGGACTGATCTCACTATGACCCAGGGAGCCCTGCCAGCAGGATGGGGGCTCTCATCTCACCTGCCGTCCACAACCCAGGCTCATGTCAGCAGGCCCTCTTGGGCCTCTTGGGTCCTCAGGATTCTGCAGGGCCTCAGTCTCCCAAACGCAGAATCCCTCCTAACTACGGGGCTACCTGGTGCATCTCCCCCAGGGCCCTGAGAATGTACCCCAGCACCTGGCAAGTTCTGCTTATCTGTCATTTCACAAATGTTCACAAATTCTTGTGAGTGCAGGGCCTGGCTGGAGAGCCTGCCAGGCCACCCTGCCAGCCTGGGCCCCTCTGCCCTACACCTGGTGCAGAGGCTGGCAGGCCCCTGGGCTGGAGGAGCTCCTTTCCTGCTGTGTTCCCCAGCTCCGCACACCTTCCTCCCAAGGAGACTGAGGGGAAAAACATTCACGAACAGGAAGTTTGCTTCCCAGCAATAGAGGAACTGGAGAAGCAGCAGTGTGTTGGGAGGGGACCAGGGGCCAAGGGGGTACACAGGAGCCACCAGAGCTATTTGTTGGGGGACTGAAGGACAGACCCTGGGGTCTCACCATCCCTACCAAGGGGGAACTTGGGGAGTGGAGGACAGGGAGCAGGTCCCACCCCAGGGCTCATGTCCTCAGGGCTTCAGGTTTGCCTCCCTTACATTCTGCTGCCTGTGGCTGGCTCTCCTAACACCATATAGTCTCACTTGCTTTTTCTGGTCCCCACACCTCAAGCTTACACCTATGATGCCCCTAGATGTCACCCACCACCTGTGACAAAGAGTCTCTTAGGGTCCCTGGGCCCAGCTGCACCAATAGTCCCTGCAGAGTGGGTGGCTCGCCTTATCATGCTCCCTGGCAGGACCCAGCCCAGGCCCTGGACCCCTGGGTTTGGGAGAAGATTCTTCCCAACAGGCCCAGCCCTGCCCTCAGAACAGTGCCCTGAGGCCTCCACATGGGCATGGGAGAGCTGGGCCTGGCCTGGGACAACCCCGTGCAGTCGGGCGAGGGGCCCAGGTAACACAGTGCTCATACACCCACAGGTCCTCAGCGCCAGACACTGTGCCAGCCCTGCCAGCCCTAGGGCCCACCCACCAGCTTCCAGGCCAGGGCGAGTAGGGAGTACTCACTGTAGCCCATGCCTTGCAGGAAGTATTTGAAGGCCTCGGTCAGCTTCCCCGGCTGCAGGAGGGTAGGACAGGGATGAGCTCTAATTAGGCAGCCTGGGACTGGTGGAAGGGAAGGGCTCCCTCACCCCACCCCTAGCTCACTCCCACTGGCAGGAGGGCTGAGTCTCACCTGTGTGACCTGAGGGAGTCCCCCGGAATCTGCCATCTACAAAGGAGAGAATGAGGTGAGTGAGCAGATCCCCCACCCTGGACAGGCTCTGTCAGCCAGACGTACTGTGTGCTCCTGCTCCCTGCGGCCAAGCTCACCTTCAGGAAGGTCGTGGAGGTTGGGTCCATTTTGGAGTTGCATTCAACCTGGAGACAAGGAGCCAGTCTCAGCAACACCCCTGCCCCCAAGGCTAAGGCCATGTCTGTGCTCAGAGCAGAGGAAGGGGCAGTGCTGGGGGCAAGTGCGGGCCTAGGGCCTAGAGGAGGCTGCCTTCCCTGGCTTCTTCCTTTCAGGGATCTGCAAGGCTCTGGAAGTCAGTTAGCAGCCCCTAAGGGGCCTGAAACCCTGGGACCCCATTCGCAGATGGGTCTGCAAAAGTTCCAGGGGCCACAGGGGCCGGGCAGCAATGTGAGGTGTAGCCGGAGACCTGGGCCAGCCCATGCCCCTGGTGCTGCCTGACTCTGGAAGGTACAGTATTTTCTGGGCACTCCTGGTCCTGAGGGACACCCACCCCCAGGCTGCCTGCTGCCAGAGCGCCAACAGGAGGGCTGACATACAGTGCCAACATCCCAGGGTATGTGGGGGGCACGGGGAAGAATGAATCCATTTCATGCAAGTTGAATTTTAGAAGAAAGATCTGAGGCTCTGGGCCCTAAGTGTGTAGAGACTCAGGTTCGGGGCTGCACTAGTGGGGAAGTAGGGGGCACATCAGGCAGCGGCTCCAGCTCCTTCCTCTTAGGCCCCTCTCCGAAGGATGGCAGATGGCAGGGAAGTGGACGGGAAGCCCGCCATCTGGTGATTGCCCCTGAGGCCACCTTGGGCTGCATCAAGAGTTGGCCTTGCTGGCCAGGATCCCCCAGCATCCATGCCCATCGCACACTCACCACCCCATCCTCAGCAGGTGCGTTGTCCCCAACCACCAGCATCACCGGGCAGCTGCAGACAGAGGGAAAGGGCTGTTTGGCCTGGGCGAGGGGCAGGGCCAGGGTCCCTGGAGGGCCATGGTCACTCACCGGAGCGTCTTGGCATTGGGCACTGTCCCAGGCCGGTTAATGTCCAGGTCTCTTCGGCTACAGGGAGAGCAGAGGCAAAGGTGAGCATCTCAGAACTGGATGAGGGGATCCCTGAGCCCACCATGGCCAAGTGGTCAACAGTCAGGTAAGTGTGGGCCTGCTCTGCAGGAACAGTGGCTGTCAGGGCTTTCCTCACTCCGGACTTCTTTCCAGACCCCTGGCTCCTGTCGGCAGGCTCTGGACCGTGTACCACCCTTTCTGTCTCAGGAATTTGTTCCTGGCCTGGCTGCTGGACACTACAGAAAGCGGGGCCTAAGCCCTCACTCTATTGTATGCCACACAGCAAGAGCTTGCACCTGGGTCTCTCATTCTCTATTGTTTTTCCAGCAGGTGCTTAATTGGTATTTGCAAAAGAAAAGGAAGGCAGGCAATGGGGGGTCTGCTCACCCAGATACCCCACAAAGGACCACAAAGCACAGCTAGAAAACCACAACCTCAGGAGGTTCACAAGTTCGAGTCCAACCTGGCAACTTAAGGAGACCCGGCCTCAAAATAAATTTTTTTTTAAAAGGACCGGGGATATAGCTTAGTGCAAAGCCCCTGGATTCAATACCCAGTACAACAACAAAAATAACAACAACAAAGGAAAACCACAACCTCACCGACACCCTCCCATTTCACAGAGGTCAGCACCACTGCTCCATGTTGCTGGGGTCGGAGTGTCACTAACATCTCGCAGTGCTCCCAGCCAGCAGGAGGGGAACTGGTAGAGCCCAAGGGCCAGGGTCCAAAGCCGTGCTACCTGCTGCCCCCAGGAGGCTGTGACTCTGGGCAGGAAGCCACCCCTCTCCCGGGATCCATACGTGCTCATCTACAAACCCCACACACACCTGTTGTACATGTTCCAGAAGAGCTGCAGGTTGGCCTGGTTCACCACATTCCCGATCTGCTGCCGGTAGCTCTGCACCAGCTCCGTGTTGTTCACCAGCTCCTCCTGGGCCCAGGCGTGGAGGGGAGCACACAGACAGAGAGAGACTCAGGAGGACAGGCAGGCATCATCTCCAGAGCAGCCTTTGCCCCACTCCCAGTGGGACAGCAGGGGGAGGGCTGGGAAGACGGGGCCTCTCAAGGGTGACAACAGGCCTAGGCCAAGCCACCAGGGCCTCCTCCTCCAGGTCGGGGCTGGGAACAGCCAGGGCCCAGCTCTACAGGAGTCCTGCCCCTTACCTGGCTGAAGAGGTGGGAGAGCACCGTGTCTGGCAAAGTGCTGGTCAGGCCAGAGAGCTGCGAGAGGGGGAGCCCAGTGTAAGCAGCGCCCCTCACAGCACCCTCTGCCCCAGGCACCCCAAGCTCACCTTGGTGGCAGCCCAGTCAATCCAGCCTTTGCCATTGGGGTCGATGTTCATGAGCACCAGCCCCTCCACCAGGTCAGGGAAGATGAGCTGCAGGGAGAGGGGAGAGGGGAGAGGGTGGGAGGGATGGGGGGAGGGAGCCCCTTCTGCCCACCTAGAAAGTGGGCTGTGAAGCTGCAGCCCTGCCTGTCTCCAAGGTGGCCGGAAAGGTCAGAGGAGGTAGAATGGCTCTGTAAGGCCCTGAGAAGCCACAGATGAGCCAACTGGGCCACTGGGGCCAGGCGCCTGCTGATCCTTTCAGCCTGAACCCCTAAGCACTCTCTGACTTATTTAGAACCTATGATTCTATCGCCATTCTCTTCCCTTTTAATATACAAACATATATGTGCACATATTTCTGCAGTGCTAGGGATGGAACACAGGGTCAGGCATACACTAGGCAATTGCTTTACTACTGAGCTACATCCCCAGCACCTTCTGATTTAGTTTTGAAAAGGTTCTTACAAAAGTGAGTATTAAACATACCAAACCTTAAACATGTTTTCCTTTGCTTATACAGAAAATGAAGGCAACTTGACTTTTTTTTTTTTTTCAAGCACTGGGGACTGAGCTATATTCCCAGTCCTTTTTATTTATTTATTTTTTGGTATCGGGGATTGAACTCAGGACCTTGCATGCTAAGGCAGGCGAGGTGCCACTGAGCTACATCCCTGGCTTCAGTCCTTTTTAAATTTTGAGACAAGGTCCCACTAAGTTGCTAAGCTGCCTGGGCTAGGTTCAAATTTTCAATCTTCCTGCCTAAGCTTCCCAGAGCTCTGGGATTACAGGTATGCACCACCATGCCTGGCTGTTTTTCAAGTTAATTCCCTTGAAGGGTAAAAAGGAGAAAGGTTTTCTAATAAGTGAAGAGGATGTGGGGTGGGGTGGGAGGATAGGGAAGGAAGAAGGATAGTGCTACAGGAGCTCCTGGGACTGCGCTGGGGCTTGGGGGAGGGACGGGAGGAGACTCACTGCAAACTTGGCCAGCACATAGGCTCCGGCTCCCACTCCGATGCCAATAATGTACTTGAACCTGGTGTAGATAGAGCACTGCTGGTCACTCTAGGGCCAGGGTGCCGTTTCCCCCAAAAGCCATCCAGAGCAGGCCCCTCCCACTGCCCACAGCCCTCCCTGATGGCTCTGCAGTGGCAGTGGGCACCTCTTGGTCCCCAGCACAGGGCCAGGGCCAGGGCCAGGAGGGGACTCACCCAAAGTGCTGTACCACGCTGGGGAGCATGGCAGCCAGCTGCTCCATGGAGGGGAACTGGTACCTGCAGGCAGAGCAGGAGGTCAGGGTGCTGTGCAGCCTGGGGTTTGGAGCTGGGGAGGCAGGGGGATTCTGGGGGTACCTACCCTTGAGGAAACTGCGACGCCCCCACCTGCTGTCCGGGGGCATCCACGTGGCACACCACAAAGTGCTTGGTGATCTCCTGCATGTCCTCGAAGTTGAAGAAGGTGTTGAAACACAGCTTGTCTGCAAAGACACACACCTCAGCCAGCCTCGCAGAGGAGGGGAGGAAAGGGGGAAGGTGGGGGGCCTACGGGGCAGGGCAGGAGTGATCACCCAGTGGTCAGTGGGAAAACCAAGGCCAGAGGGCTTAGGCCACAGGGCTAAGTGTGAGCAGGGCTGGACGGCACTCTGTGGCAGAGAAGGGAGTGCTGAGTGCTGCCAGGCTGCACTTACGGTTTAGGCCCACGTCATGGTAGGTGAAGATGGCTGGGCGGTTGCCCTTGGGGGAGCCGCGGATCACCACGTGGAGAAGCCCATAAGGCGTCTCAATGTCATGTTCCTGGAGGGTACAGACAGCGCTGGACTCTTGGCAGCCTCCACTCCTGGCTCTTCTGAGGAACCAGGCAGTGGGGCAGAGATCACTCAGCAGCCCACAGAGCAGACAGGCCAGATGGAGCCCCTTTCTCAGGGGTCTCCAGCACAGGGACAATGTGAACTCCATAGAAAGTCCAGGTCCCTCTGCAAACCAGCCACTGTGCTGCCACTGCCCAGTGGTCCAGGGAGGCCCCAGGCCCGCCCCCATGCAGAGCCCTCAAGGGTTCTCTGACACTGAAGGGCAATAGTCTCAGCAGCCCTGCCTGAAATCCTCACCAGCAGCCCATGCTGGCCTAGCCCCAGGCCCTGCCCCTGCCCCACACCCCTCCCAGGTTTCCACCCCAGCTCTTAATTGTACCCTGCCTTCTACCTCAGTGCCCTTCCCTGTGACCCAAGCATCCCCTAGGCCTCTAGGAAGGGTGGAGTTGGATCACTCCACCACTTCCAAGCCTTCTGCAGGGTCTGCTCAGGGGTCTTCCTGAGTTTATGCCCTTTGTTTTGCTTCTCAGGGTCATTAGTTGTTTAGGCAGCCTTGTCTTTGCTCCTTCTTCTGTGTGACTCTGTGCCTCAGCCTCTTCATGGGGAACCACCTCATAGGGATTTGGTGACAGCTTCAGCATCAGCCCTGGTAGAGAGCCCTGAGCCTCAGGGAGATGCCCTGCTGCTGGCTGGTGCCTTTGGAAGAGGGTAATTCTGGACACTCAATGAGGAAACTCAAGAGGGTCAGCAGAGCTGAGTAAATGGCCCATCCTGCCCTATGGAGAGCCCTGGGACCACAGTGGGAGCCCAAAGAGTTGAAGGTGCCCCTGGGGTGAGAGGCAGGAAGGAAAGAGCCAGTGGCTGAGAGGAGACTGTGCACCAGGTTCCCACATGTTCACCGAGGGAGAAGGACCCCAGCCCCCACTTTCAGAGGGGAAGGTATGGGTGGGGAGGACAGTTTCTCAGGGACTAGCTTTCTTGGGTCTGGTCTCAGAGCACCACTGTCCAGAATTGTGCCTCTAGTAGAAAGTAATAAGGTGGTGCCCACCCCAGGAGACACAATCTGCTGGAGGTCTGATCCCTGGGGTCCACCAGGTGGTCCCAGGCCTGCCCTCCCTGAGGATCCTTCAGCTCAAGGTGCACTTCCTACCTATAGGCCACTGAGTGGGCTCTTTCCATGTGTCCTTTCATTTACTCCTCACATGGACTCAAGCTACTCGGGAGGAAACTGAGGCCCAAAAAGGAAAAGTGACTTCCCTGAGGTCAAGCCCAGAGCAGGTGGGGTAGGGGACTTGCCAGGTGGGCCAGGGCTCCTCAGGGGCCAGGGCTCGGTACTCAGGCTGCATTTTCTGAGGAGGACACCAGTCCCACCCCACAGACCTCTGAGCAGGCAGCCCCACCCACAGAGGCCCACGTCCGCTGGGTGCCTGCCAATCCCATTCCCAGCCACTCCCCTGTTCTCTCAGGCCTGGAGGGAGAGCCAAGGGCTACCACAGTGGGCTTTCTGCACCAGAGGGCAGTTCTCAGGTGAGTCAGCTCTTGCCCTGGGGAACAGAAGTCAGGTCCCAGGGCACCTTCTAAACTCAGACCTCCACCCTCCAGCAGGTGTGATGAGGGGGTACCTGCCCTCCTGCTGAGGAGGCCCCATTTGTCCCCTCCCAGTCCTGATCCAGCTGCCTAGGTCCCCATCTGCAGGAGGCTGTCATCAGCAACAGAGCTGGGTCTGGGCAGTCATGGCAGGCGGGTGGGAGCTTTAGCCAGACAGTCAGTCCATGGGGCCTAGTGGCCTTGGCCTAACCCTGCTAACGATCTTCCGCTTTACTCCATCCTTAGCAGGGAGCTCAGACCCAGCTCAGCCTGATAGCAGTGGAGCATCCTATTCTCCCGGGTACTATGCTGGCCAAGGTGGGGGGCGCCCCAGGACCGCAGCCTGGCGAACCTAAGGCCTCCAACTCCCAGAGCCGAGAGCTTCCATTGGCTCCTGGTGACATCAGAGCCCGGCCCGCCTCCCGGTGGGCACCCACGGGATGCAGTGTGGCAGCCAGGGAGGGGGCTCTGATGTTCCCTCTCAGCTCCTAATGTCTTGCCAGTGACCTTGAGGGCCTGAGGTGGGGGTGGGGATTGGGTAGGGATTGGAAGCTGGACATTGGTGCATGGGGCCAGGGAATGGAGCTGGCACATGAGATTCTTTTCGTCAGCTGCATCAATAATTCAGGGGACAGGGTCTGCATGGGCGGATATGGGCTGATGTCACAGCCTCCATGCAAGGCGACCCCACAGCCTGGGAACCCAGCAGGGTAGGGCAAGGGGGGTGCGCAGGGGCAGGGAAGTTTGTCCTTGCCTCTCCTTCCTTGAGGAAGAACCATTTAGGGCTTGGGTACCTGCTGCTCCTCAGGGGTACAGGAGGCACAGTGACCCCTTGTTTCCCCTTCCCTGCAGAAACCCCTGCCTGAAGGTCCAGACCTCCACTCCTCTGCCGAGCTGGCACCCAAATGCCCTGGGGACATACAAGCAACTCCTAAGGAAGGAAGAGGCTGGGGACACAAATCTGTCCCCTCCCAATCCTGATTCAGCTGCCCCAGTCTCCATCCACAAGAGGCTGCCAATGGCAATCTAGAGCTGCCACCCAAACATCAAGACCATGGGGACAGGACCACAGACCCTGCAGGCATAGCCCTCCCAGGACATGCTGCAGACACAGCCCCAGGCTCACAGAGGACCAGCCCAATGGGCCGAGGTAGTCCCAGCACCCAGGCAGATGCCAGTGGGCACAAGGAAGGCAGAGGACTCGCTGTCAGCAGGGCATGTACACAGGGCCACACAGGCAGAGAGGAGTCAGTGCTTTCATTCTGTTTCCACAGACTGCATCCCTCCCTCAGGATGGACTAGCAGCTGCCCTCAGCTACACGGGTGCTCTAGGTTACCAGGGGACCGGAGCCCTGTGGCCTTGCCTCAGTGACTCCAAGTGAGGGAGAGCGATGGGAGAGTGATGCCCTGTCCTTCCCACAGGTCATAACGATGCCCCATCCTCCTGGCCCCCCTGGCTGCCCCCAGGGCCCTCACTCACCCCATCCCAGCACTCCGGCATCTTGCCGAAGGAGGGGACTCGCCCGGACTGGGAAGAACAAACAAAGGCCTGAGTCACTCGGTTCCAGTGGGAGGGGGCAGCTCAAGCGGGAGACCGTCAGCTCTGGGAAGGAGCTCAGCTCCTGGGCATTTATACACAGCTCCTGGCAGCCAGGTGGCCCCTCCTCCCTGCAGCGTTTCTGAACAGCCACTTGCTCACCCACAGCCCCCACTCCCAGATTGGCTGCTGGGAGACAAACTTGGCTCTGATTGGCTTCCGAGCTCCTCATCACCCAGCCTCTTCCTCCCACCCCAGCAACACATCATCCTGGGGGTCCCAGCCCCTATGTACCGCTGACAACTGCAGCTGCACACAGATACCCCCAGGGTGACAGAAGCTGTGGCCAGGCACACACAGGGGCCTTTCACAGATGTGCATGCCCAATCAGGACAGAGTGGGACACAGAGGCAGGCAGAGCCCTGGATTCATCTCCTGCACGAAGGGCTGAGAGGTCCAGGCCCAGCATGCTGGGCACCAGCCACCAAGCCCAGCTCCCTCACAGGAAGACCCAGGTCACTTATCCTTAAGGAAAGCTGGGAGGTCCCTGCTTCTCCAAGCACCTCTGCTTCAGGGGCCCGCTGCTCTCCCACCTACCTCCCACTCTGTGCATGTTACCCAGGGCTTTCCGAGCTGTCAAAAGTGGGGTGTGTGTCCGAGGGACCTGGGGAGACTGCAGAAGCAGGGGTGTGATGGGGCACACATCAGCTCTGCCCTCCCACCCCTATTCTGCAGCAAGGGGCTGGAGGCCCCTAGAGAGAGGAGGAAGGACAGGGACAGCCTTTGCCTAGCTGACGTGGCTGCCTCCTGCACACCACCCTCCAGCGTGCTGCTTGCCTCCTGGGTCTCTGTGGAGCAGGATGTCTGAGCCACCTCAGGCTCCATGTCCCATCCCCCAGAGAATCAAGGGTCTGGGCGGCAAACTAGCCCAAGCTACGCAGGCAGAACAAGGAGACTGGAGTCATGGTTACCACAGGAGGAGAGGAAATAGGCCAAGGAGGTGAGCAGTGGGAGCTCCAGGCTGAGGGAACAGGACGTCAGGCAGCAGGACGAATGCAAGGCACCCGTGCCCTGATTCTTCTTGTCAGTGAAGGACACACTGCTTGTCCCAGCCTATGCTGCACACCGGCTGGCTGCCCTCGGAAAGGCAACCCTGGGTGCTGGTGACCTGGCAAGCACCTGCCACTGGCACTACCCCTGGCCACATCCTTTACCTGGGCCACCAACCACCTTCCCTGCTCCATCTCTGACCCCTCACTTCAGGGCCTTGAGCAGCATGCTGGGCCCTGTGCCCCTGAAGGCAGCAGGAGTGTAGAATGGGGTGCCCCAGATCTCCCCATCCTGGCCATGCTTCCATCCTGGACCACTGAGGCAGCTCCTCCAAGGAGCAGAGGTCCTGCTACTGTCCCCAGCCAGTCCTGTGCACTCTGTTGGCCTGTCCTTGTCCTTGGACCCAGGTGAGATGCTGACCTGCCCTTCCCCACCCCAAGCTGCAGCCCTGTCCCCATTTGTGCTCAGCTCACTGGCTGCAAATCCACAGACCTGCATCCAACTTCTGCCTGGCCCCTAGCTGGGTCCCTGGGCAACATCTGTAACCTCTGTGCCTCTGGCTTCCCCGATATAAAATAGGTATTGTGCTTTCCTTGCTGAGTTGCTATGGGAATGAGAAAAAACTGCAACAATCACACAGCCCTGACCCTAGATCTCCCCAGCCCTGGAACAGGAGAAACAGGACAACCCACGGGTCTCCCCAGATTGCTGGCCCCTTTCCTGGAGGCTGTGGCCAAGCACAGCTAACTGAGGTTCTGCTAGCTGAATCCTGGTGCCCCTGAAGCTCTGCCACTTCTTTGCTGGGTGACCTTGGACAAGTCAGTCAACCTTTCTGACCCTCTACCTCTGCGAATGGGAGAAGGAGCAGTGCCTGACACACAAGTATTTATAAGGAAAACATACACAGTCTTCATAAACCCAGGAGATAGGATGAGGAAACTGAGGCACAGAGAGGTTAGGCAATTTCCCCACCCAGCTAGTAACACTGGCGTTTCCACCCTAGCATTCCAGGCCTGAGGTCACATTGGGAGCAGCACTTACATGAGATGGGCCACCACGAGCCAGGCTCTACTCAAGCATTTTGTTACCTTATTGTATTTTGTTTTGGTTCAGTGTTTGTTTGTTTTTGCAGTAATGGGAATTGATACCAGGGCCTTCACACTTCCCCAGACGTTTTTTTTTGTACCGGGGATTGAACTCAGGACCTTCCCTTGTGAGGCAGGTGCTGGAACCACTGAGCTAAACCCTCAGCCCTATTTTTGATTTTGAGACAGGGTCTTATTAAATTGCCTAGGTGGGAGGTGAATCATAATCCTCTTGCCTCAGCCTCCCCCAGTGCTGGGATTACACTGCACCCAAGTTCAGTTTGGTTTTTTGAGATAGTCTTCCTATATAGTCCAGACTGGCCTTGAACTCATAATCCTCCCACCTAGCCTCTCCAGTGCTGGAATTACAGACATGTGTCTCCACATCCAGCTTATTTTACCCTCTTATACTTTTCAGAGAAGGCAGGTGAAACGCAGAGAGGTTTGGTGACCTGCTCCATGTTACACAGCTAAGAAACAGAACAAGGAGCCATACCCAAGCAGCCTGGCTCTGACTCCACTTGTCACAGTCACTGGAGTGTCCAAATACTGGGCCACACCCACACCCACGAATGTGTCACTGTACAAATGAGCTGGCTCAGTAGACTGGCCTGTCCTAGAGTCACATGGCCAGGAAGTGGCAGGGCCAAGGGCTAGACTTGGGTCTGTCTGGCCCCTGTGTTTCTCAGCTTTGTTACTTCTCCTCCTGGCAGAGCCCACTGAGGTCAGCAACAGTGACACCACCTCCCGCTGTGAAGTGGGATACAATCCCTGCCAGGCTATGGCCCACATAATAGCCATCTTTGGAGCTGTTTCTTTTATTTTTGGGGGGTACCAGGGATCAAACTTGGGTCCTTGCGCATGTGCAGCAGGCGGCTGAGCTAAATCCTCGGCCCTGGGGCTGTTTCTTTTAAATAAAAACAATAATACAAACAAACAAACAAAAGTCCACACCTGTCTCCATGTAGTATAACTGGAGTGGACAGGGAGTCAGCTTTTCTTTTTGCAGTATAGGATTGTCACTGAGGGCCTCTTACATGCTAGGAGAGTGCTTCCCTCTGAGCTACGCCCAGCCCTTTATTTGAGACTGGCTCTTAGTAAGTTGCTCCAGCTGGGCTTGAACTTGCAAGCCTGAGTAGCTGGGATTACAGGCGTGGACCACCTCGCCTGGCTAGGAGGGAACCTTTTAATACATATTTCCCCTCAACATGCAAAGGGCCTTGAGAATGAGGGTCCCACCTGCCACAGCAGCTGCCTTGGGCACTGTCTGCCTGCTGCTTGGAGGGCTCAGCTGAGAGGCGGCTGCACAGAAGCAGTCGGGATCTGCGTGGCGAGGCCTCCCCTGGGACCCCAAGGCTCGCCTCCACCTCTCCCCATGACAAGGTGAGCGTCAGGCCTGCGCCTTCCACACGTGGGACCAGAGTGACAGGGCAGGGCCTGGCTGCTCCAGGATTTAATGTCATCAGTCCCCTCTTTAGGGCACATTTGCTTATATTCCCAATCTCATTCGGAGCACAGAGGACAAGAAGAGTTGCCTGGATCCTGCTCGGATTTTCAACTGGTCCTTCCTACCAGCTGGCTCCTCACCCAGCCACATCCCTCCCACCTTCTCCTGGCCCCCCAACCAAATCCCATGCCTCTCTTCCAGCCTGGAGCCCCTGTGTTTGGACAGGGCATTCCTGTGGGATCTGAGCACCTGCATGTTGTCTGCCCTGCATCCTCCCCTTGTGTCCTTGAAGAGCACATGACCAGAGACCGACGCACAAGGCCTGATCTTCAAGACTCGTGACCGAAGGACTACACACGTGCCCTGGCCTCATCCTTGCTGGCGAGCTGCTGAGCTACTTGCCAAGGCAGTGCCAGCAGGCGGCCCCACCTCCTGTGTCATCACCTCAGCGGCCTCCAGACCACAGGCTGGCCTTGTCATGGGGCTTGGAGAATGACCCACATCAAGGTTGCCAGTGACAAGGGTAGTAGCCTGGGGTCTACTTTCATCTTTTAGGAGGAAGGATCTGAGCTGTTCAGCATGTTTGGTTGCCTGGTGGAGTTTGGGGAACCCCACAAGACTCCCCTGGTGTCTGGTGTTAGGCGTTTTCTAGCACCTGGAAGTAAACGGTCACTGGGGAACTGAGAAAGAAGAAATGGCTGGACAAGTGAGCCAAAAGGGGAATAAAAACAAAGCTTAAGTTCAGTTTTCATGGAGAATCTGGCATCAAAGTAAAGAGGACATGGTTGTCCTGGCAACTGCTGCCATGGAAACAGGAGCTATTTTGGAGCCAACCTACCTTTCATTGGAGGAAAATGCTGATTCAGGTTATAGCATCCCTCACTCCCTTCTCCATCCCCCTGCCCTCCTCCCCCAGGTCCCCTGTCCCTTTCTGGCTGCCCTGTTCAGGGGCTGGCCAACGGTGGGTCCCACATCTCAGGGGGCTGAGCCTGGACTTACCTTCCAGTCCGTGTCCACAGTGGAGAGGAAGGTGTCAGGGTTCTCCTAAGAGAAGGCAAACAGAGGAGCAAGTGAGGCCCTCACTGGCCTGGGCGGCCCATGGAGGTCAGCCCAGAGCAGACAGCTTTCTGATCCCCAGACTACGTTAATGTTAAGTCGAGTTTACCAAGTGCCAGATATCAGGCTATCCAGTGCTTGGCAGATGAAAAGATTTCCCTTTTACAGGTAGGAAGGGTGAGGCTCAGGCTGAGGCCCCGGGCTACGAAGTGGTGGAATCTCTGTTTCAAATCTGGACTCTTGGTCCCTTTGTTCTCCTGCCCTCATAGATACTTCTGGAGGTCTGACCATCTGGACACAAGGGCAGAGGCAGAGGAAGGAGGGAGGAGGAGGACACGCCCATCACACCCCCAACTGGGATGGGCAAGCTGAGGTGTGCTTGGCATGAAGCCACAAGGAGCTTTTCTAACCTGCATAGTTAGGCACTGCCAGGGCCCAAGGCACTGCCCACTTTGAGTTCTCCAGTCACTTGGACATGTGTGACACTGAGCAGTGTACATCTGTGATTAGTGGCTATCCTACCACTGGACTCCAAGGGCCATGAGGGAGGGACCAAGTCCGACTGTAACATTCCCAGACTGAAATGAACAATCTGCAGGATGGGGGGTGAGATTCAAAATGCACTCAGCTTATGAGGCTGCACAGATGGAGCCTAGCAGCCCTCAGGCTCCCTGCAGCTGGGCCTGACTCTGGGGTGTGACTCAGCTTCTCCACATCTGAATGACCAGGCACCTGATCCAAGTCAGACTCCGGTTGTTTTGGAGGAAGCCTACCAGGAGACCAGCACCCACCCATGTAAGGTGGAGCGTGGGTTGGGTCCACCTTGCTGTCTACCCTGCCTGTCTAGAAGCCTCTCTGCTCCAGTCAGGCAGGCCAAGCAGCCTCTGCATGGGGCATTAGCTACGATTGTCCTTTGTGTTCCTACCCTGGACTCTGTATGCCACGGACTCTCCTATGGAATAAATACCCATCAAATCAGGAGCAGGGTGCAGCTGGAGCATAGCAAGAGAAAGGTTGGGCTGCCACTGTGCAACAGGAAGGAAAACATCCCTGGGTCCAGGGTGCACCCAATGATTCTGATGTTGCTTCTCAAAATACCTTAACATCAAGCTGCCCGCATTCTGGCAGGTAGGGAGGTTAAGGTCAGAGGGCACCAGGGACTGTCACACCCAAAGAGGACAGCCAGGGATCAGCTGCCTGGGAACGTGGAACCCAGCCTCCCTTGCTGGTTCAACCAAGGCCTGGGGGACTCTTCCTGGGAGAGGGAGGGCAGCCACTCTTGGACCCCCCCCACGGAAGAGGACAGGGCTGGGGGAAGGGGAAGGGGCTGGCATGGATGCATCTTCTCACCCTAATCACTGTGTGAGGGAGGCTGGGGAAGCGGGTGTGGGAGGTTTTTATCAAGACCTTACTGGGGCAATTATCTCTGAGAAGGAGGGAAGAGGCAGTTTTGTGAAAAACAAAACTCTGACAGTAAGGATGAGGCAGATAATAGCAGGGTTTGCAGAGTGCTCTCAAGGTGCTGGGGGCCCTGGGAGATGAGGGGTGTGGGAGGGACAGGACCTAACAGCCAAGGAACAGCAGGAGTAACAGGAACCCATTTGGAGACCCTGGACTGTGCTCGATGAGAGAAAGCTCAGAGGCAACTGGAGGGAGAGGGTCCCACTGAGGGAGCAGGAGGCTCAGGGGTGACTTGTGGGGGGCACTGGAGAGGGGGTGGCCAGTGTCCCACAGAGCCCTGGACCAGCAGGCACTAGAGTCTGCAAAGCAAGCCAGTGCGCAGAGGCAGAGGAGGTGCTGCTGTCCCGCAGTCTCTGCAGGGCGCTGGGTCCAGCTCGCTCTGCAGACACCGAGTTCCACAGAAGCTCAAGTCCCTTCTATGAAATGGTGTCATTTTGCACAGAACCTGCGCACATCCTCCTGTATACTTAAATTAGTCCTAGACTGCTTATAATACCTAACATAAGGCAGATGCTGTATGAATGGCTGTTACATTACTTAGGGATTAACTGCAAAGAGAAAGTCTGTACACGTTCAGTACAGGTGCAACTGTTTTTTCTATATTTTCTGTGGGTTTTTTTTTTTTTGGTACTGGGGATTGAACTCGGGTCCTTGTGCTTGCAAGGCAAGCAGTGGAACCACTGAGCTAAATCCCTGGCCCCTTTTTCTAATATTTTCAACCTGTGGTTGACTAAAACCATAGATGTGGAACTCAAGGACACCGAGGGCCAACTGTTTGATCCTCACTGGGCTCCGAGCCTTTGCAGGAGACTGAGAAAGTGAAAAGGGAGGGCACTTTCCCACACTGCCACAGGGGACCTGAGAAGTAGAACAGCTCTGCAGGCAAAGGTGAAGCATGTGGACCCCAGAAAAGCCCTTGCTGGGGGATAAGGAGGATGCTTTGGGCTTGGGGACAGAGCTTGTACTGTGCCTTAGGAAATAGCAGATGTGGCCAGGTCCTCAGCCAAGGGCTTGTGCTGTCTCGAGAAAGGAGAGACCTCCACAGAGACAGATACCAGACCCTCATGCAGAAGTGGGACCATCAGAGCGGCAAACTGTCTTGGAGGCCAGCAGGGTGAGAGACCAGCAGGCTGGGGGGTGGGGGGGTGACTGAGATCACTGATGGGGAACAAGGGGCTGGGCCAGGTGGGTGGAGAAGGGTGCCGTCTACTCTCAGAGCCTCTGTGTGTGTGTGTGTGTGTGTGTGTGTGTGTGTGTGTATGGTGAAGTGTGGAAGACACAGGTGTCATGGGCCCAAGAAGGCCTCAGCTCTCTGCACTGTGTCCAGGCACTGTTCAGGGTCACTGATGCTGAGCCACAGTGATACCTGCTCTCCACCCTGCCCCCTTCAGCACGTGATGGGATGCAGAGGTCCACAAGGGCTGCCCTATGCACTGGCAAGTCCTCACAAGAGGTCTCTGGTCAGAGGCTTCGAAAGACAGGCTGGTGTGGGCAAGAGGGACTTTTCAGAAAGGTCTGAAAAACTTCTTCCCTCCGAGCTGCACCACAATCTGTGGCTCCCCCCAGCGAATGTCTTTGCTGAGCACCAACTGTGTACAAGAAGCTATGCTGGGCGCTGTGGAGACCTGGGCATCAAACAGAGAAGAAAGCTGCAGAGTCTGAGAGGGAGCAAGACAGAGCAGGGAGGGGTGTCAGGGTCAGACACACTGGGCAGCGAAGACCTCTCTGAGCAGGGGCATCCGAGCAGAGGCAGTGAGCCCTGCGCTCTGGGGCTACACCTTCCAGGCAGAAGGAACCACTGGGAAGGTGGTGGGCAAGTTCAAGGAGGCTGGAAAGGAGGGAGCTGGGGGAGAGAGCAGGGATGGGGCAGGGCGGTGCATAACACATCCTGGGCCCCAGAAGGACAGGGGCTGGGCTGAGCATGACTGGGGCTGCTGGTGAGCTTTAAGCAGAGAAGTGACATGATGTATTTTAAAGGCCTGTAAGGGCAGAAGCGAGGGGACCATTGGGGAGGCCCTTGCAAGTTTCCCAGGAAGCAATAATGGGGTCTGCGGTCTGGGCCAGGAGTGAGTGAGGTTGGAACAAAGGGCCTGCTAAGTGTGTGGCTCCCCCGCTGCCCCAAGGGCTGCCCTGAAGTCACCCAGGCCTCAAAAGTTAATGCAAGACTCTGACTAAGGGCTGTGCCCTTCTCTGGGGACCCTTCATGAGGTCCGTCCTCTGGAGCCCTGCTTGCTGCCTGGTCCCCTAGCTTGCTGTTCGGGTGCTCTTGGTCACCTCCTGAGGCAGGAGGTGGGGGGAGGAAGGGCAGGGCAGAAAACAGGGATGCAGATTTGAGGGGTTGGGTGGGTGTTGGCTTCCCCATCTGCAGAATGAAGGAGGCCTGGGAGGTATAAGCAGTGGGAACCTCAGCCTGATGAACTCCCCCAGCTAAGGAGCAGGTGGCCCTTGGCTTCTTGCACAGTGGTTTGTGTCGCAGTCACTGATAGGATGGTGCAGAGAGGGTGAAAAGGAAAGGTGGACGGGGCGTCCTAACAAGGTGGAGGATAGAAGAGATGCTGGAGTCTGGCACTCAGTTCCCGACACTGGGACAAAATCAACCTCCACTGCCTCAGTCCCACAGCTCCTGAGGCGCTGCTGGTATATCTTGCCCATGGACCTCAGAGGAGCCTGCAGCATGGATAGGGCAGTTCCTGTGCCTGCTGAAAGCAGCACCTCAGGGTGCCTCCCTTGGGGTTGGGGACTGCCCAGAGCCAGGGACTTCGTGGGGCCTCAGTCTGCTCTAGTTGTGTGATCTTGGCCAAGTAACTTCACTTGTCTGTGCGTTTCCGCATCAACCAAATGGTGCTCTCTCCTGCTGAGCTCCAACCTCAAAGACAGCCGCAGCCACAGGAAAGTTAGCTGGGTGTTGGGCGCCTGGGAATCCAGGCTGGTCCTGGAACTCTTTCAAAGCAAGGACAAGGCTGCTCAGGGTGGCTTGTCCCCATTCAGGGTCTACCCGTGACCATCAAGGCCTCAGGGAAGGCTGCGGTTTCCCTCTTCGCCACAAGGTGGCGCGCTGGGGCCCAGGACCGCGAAGGGGCTACTCACCAGCTCGGTAACATCCTGGCCGCGAAGCAGGGGCTTCTCCTCTGGGAATCGCAGCTCTTGCAGCCCGGCCATGGTCACGTCGTGCAGTAGGAGCCCTGGGAAGGAGGGAGGGCGAGGTTGGGCCTTGCTCTGAATCTCCCGGGTGGAGGAGGACATTGAAGGTAGGGTCAGGGGTCCCAGGAGACCATACTGATACTTCCACAAGATTGGCTTAGAAAGATTGCTCTTAAAAGTTCAAACATGTTTGGAAACCAAAGAGAAAAGCAACACATAATGATCTCTAAAACAGTCTTAAGCAAAAGCCTGCCTCACTTGGGCCGGGGATTTAGCTCAGTGGTTTCACCGCCTGCTGCGCAAGCGCAAGGACCCGAGTTTGATCCCCCCTACCAAAAAAAAAAAAAAGAAGGCCTGCCTCACTGAGAAGCAGAAGGGCAAGTGGGAGGCTGGAGCCAGGGTTCGGTATAGGCCCGGGAGTCGACAGCGCCATTCTGGAGGACAGAGAGGCTGGGGAAGAGGAGAGCTGAGGGCACTCCTGGAGCCAGGACAGCCCGGGAGGGGTGGGGACCGTCAGGGTGGCAGGCAGAGTGATATTTAAGGAGGGGTCCTGCAGGGAGGGGTGGCACAGGCGATCTCTCAGCCCACAGCTGCCAGATGGTAGGTCCCAGGGCCCAGTGGCCGGGTGGCTCTGGGAGACCACCAGGCTTCTGACCCTCGGGAAGAACGGGTCACCAGATGAGGCAATGGTGGGAAAGGCAGGGCACTGATAGGGCCCCGGATCCACAGTTCGTCCAGAACTTGGATTGCAGGGTGGCAGCAGTCAGAACGCACCAAGGGAAATGAGCCAAGAACATGATCTGGAAACTCCTAAGAGAATTAAAACTGGAAAAATATGCACGTTCTCTAGAAGTCAAAGAAATGCAAATTAAAAGAAGCTCGTCTTTTTGGCAAATGGAACTGGCGAAGCTTGCAGTGCTAACAAAGGTGCACAGAAACGGGCACTGGCTTATAATGCTTGCAGGCGATACACCGATACATCTTTCTGGACAGCAGTTTTGTAAAATGAATTAAAATTATTTTAAAAGTTCATACTCTCGAGACTCAGCAATCCCTTCCCTGGAAGAAATTTCCTAAGGAAACTGGAGAGGGCAGAGAATGGTGTAGCTCAGGAATGCCAAGTACAATGCCATTTACAATAGAGAGAAACTAGACACAGCTGCATGTCTGTCCACAGGTCACCAAATACACATATCACTGTAGTAACTTATAAAAGATTACTTAATAACATGAGGAAATGCTTGTAGAAAAGAAATGTGCAGTATTATCTCAAGTGTGAGAAATAGGAATGGTTCCACAGAAAAAACCTGGTAGGCTGCATACAAAAAAGTTCACAGGTATAGTCCTTGGGTGGAGGGCTGAAAACTGGGGTATACAGTCTGAAATCAGGAAAAAACATTTTTAAATGACAGAGTGTAGCAGGGCATAGTGGAGAATGCCTATACTCTCAGCACTCTGGGAGGCAGAGGCAGGATGATTACAAGTTTAAGCCCAGACTGGGAAACAATTTAGCCACAAGACATTGTCTCAAAATAAAAAATAATAAAAGGCTGGGGATGTATCTCAGTGCAAAGGACCTGGGTTCAATGCCCAGTACCACCAAAAAAAAGATTGGTTGAAAAACAATTTTTTTTGGTACTGGGGATCAAACTCAGGACCTTGTGCTTGCAAGGCAGGCACAGCGCCACTGAGCTAAATCTCTGGCCCACAAATTCTTATTCTTACAAAGCATCTCATAGCTCCTAAGTGCTTGCTTGTGCTATTTTATTTCACCCTGATAAGATGACAAAACCAGGGCTATAAGAGGTCCAATTACTTGTCCTCAAAGCCAGAGCTGGACTCCTAGTCTAGTACTCATGCTCATCCTGTACCACTATGGCGATCTAACCAGGGAGGGTGAAAGGATGAATTAACTCCTCGATTCTTCCATTTATTCCTTCCTCCTTCCCTCCCTTCCTTTCCAACTCTATATCTAGATATTTTTCAAGGGTGAAGCCTCAGACTTTCTCTCCTTCCCAGAAAACTCACAATCACACCAGCTGCTTGGTTGGGAGATAACCTTCCCACCCACCCTGCTGGTTTCTCCCTATACAGAGCCCAGGGATAAAGACAGCTCAGGGCACGGGGCCTTGGATGAAAGCCATCACTGTGGCATGAGACCAGCTGGCAGCTCCGGGCCTTCCCCACCCTTGTGTCACAAGAAGCAGGAACCGCAGAACTGGGGAGTCCCCGCTAGATCCTAGTTGGGGTTTGGGTGTCCAGCCGGCTGGGAGTACTGATCACTCAGGCCCCAGAACCCCACAGGAGAGCTGCGAAGCCACTGGAGAGCCCGATCCAATCCTCTGCACAGGGGGGCTCTGTTCCTGGTGGTGGTTTCCGAGGAAACTAGCTCACACGATGCAGATGGGCTGTATTTTTAGAAAGGCATCCTCTTTCCTTTTTCTTGCATCCTCTGGGATGTGTGCACACTCATCGGTCCCTTCCCCTAGGCAAGTCCCTTCCCGCACCATGGGACACTCTTCCCCACTAGGGTTTTTTTTAGCCACATGCCTCCCTAAAACCCAACTCAATTCAGTGACCGGGCAGCACTGGGGTGTCCTGGCCTCCCCCAGGCCCATTATAGAGCCAGCCAGGGACCATCCTCCCCACGGACAGCGCTGTTAAAAGGGACAGATGGCCTGGGATGGAGGGAGGGGCCTGGATGGGGTAGGGAGAGACCAGAATGTCCCAGCCCATGGGAAACAGCAGGCCAGGCTGTGTTGGGGATCCAGGACACAGAGGCCAGAGTGGACTTTCCCACAGGGGGAGGAGCAGAGGCTTTTCTCAAGAAAGTTATGATTTTTTTAAAAACCCAGCTGGATGGTACGTTATGAGAAGATGAGAAGATGCTACCAACCTTCTGTAGTGAAGCTGAGTTAAAGTCTGCGAGGGGTTCAGCAGCACAGGGAGTGGGGACAAACCCGGGGTCTAGGAGGCAACACGATGGCTCTCCTCACTTCCCCCCCCAACCCCTCACCCCCAGAGGGAACACGTTGCTTAAACCTCCACAGGCCTGGGACGAAGCCCAGCCTTTGTGCTCACCAGTGGTTAGCCCTGGAGACACTGACACCACGGGCACCACTTCGCTCTCTGCCTGCGTTCATTTTGGGCAAATCACTAAAAGGCTCACTGACTCACAAAAGAGGAACATTAGCCATCCCTGCCCACCTCAGAAGGTTCTGAGGTAAGCAGAATGCCTTTTAGAATTAAGATGTGTTAGGTAGATATACTAACTCCACAGGAGCAATGTAAACATTACGTACTTCAAACATGTACTAATAATTTTTTTTTTAAATGCCTTTCAAATGAAAGTGGATTTTGTTTTTTTGGGTGACATTGGGGGTTAAAACCCAGGGCATTCACACCGAACTATCCTATCCCCCAGTCCTTTTTAAAATTTTGAGACAGTGTCTCACTAAGTCCCAAAGCTGCTCAGGCTGGGCTCGAATTTGCATCCTCCTGCCTTAGCCTCCCAGAGTGGGGGATTACATGTGTGTACCACCCTGACTGGCTGAAATGAAAGTGTTTCCTTACAATATAGCTACGTGGAACAAAAGTAACTGAATGTAGCTGAGGGAGGGAGTGAGTGGGGCTTTCCTTCCCTTCCCTTGCCTACCTAAGACATTTTTTCTCCTTCTGGCTGTTAGAGGAGTCATTCCTTCTGGACGAGAGGCTGAGCTGCTGTTGGTAGGAAAGAACAGTAAGGGGTCACGGGAGAGTAAAGGGCCCCTTTGGGGAGGCGATGGAGCCCTGGGTGACTCTCAGTTTGGCTGAGTGGCAAACGAGGAGCGAGTGTGGGAAGCTCCCCAGAGCAGGGTCAGACTGCTAACTTCACATCGAGGAACTGCATTCCCATTCCACTGCTTTGGTTGCTAGTTTGTGTTTCCGGAAATGTGATCCTGTGATGAGACCTGAGCATATGAACTCTCCGACTTATCAGGTTAAAAATATCAGTGACTACTACAGTTGTTCCTGAAACTATCCAATCAGTGCTTAAGTTGATTAGTAGTGGTTACACACCCTACAGAATGAATCAATTCTTTTGTTTTCTTTGTTATTTTATTTCTTTTAAAAATTCTATTTAAGGAATGGTAGGATGGGAAGAACTAGTTAGGCAGTGGTAGGGGATGGTAGGAGGCATTTAGAAGTACACTAGGGGACTTCTGGCATCTCAATGGCAGGGGCCTCCTACCAACATTTGGTGCCGGGGGGGGGGGCAGAGGTGGGAAGGGTGTATGGTGCCAGCTCAGATGATTCCTAACCCTGAAACACAATGCTGTCCTGCTGAGAAACACGAGAAAGAAAGGCCAACCATTCACCAAGCCCAGGATGGGAACTAACGCAGAGACTGAGAGGCGGTACCGAGGAGCTGCTTGCGTCTCTCCCCCGCAGAGGGAGGGGCCCTGGAGGTCACCATCAAGGGCGGGTCCAGAGTGCCCCGAGGAGGCTGCACACTCAGCAGCTATCAGGTCCTCTGGTTATGGGAAGAGCCACGGGCAAATGCATTAAGCTGCAGCAACTGGCAGGGCCAGACCAGGCGTGACATCTCCACCCTGGGGAAAGGGCCGAGTCACTGAGAGATGAGGATGTCACAGTGGGAGAACAACCCATGTCCAAACCTGTGCTCCCACAATACCCTCCAGCCCCACTGCTGTCTGGGACCTCAGTGAGGGAGCAAACATACATCAGATGGTGATTTAGATGGCTGACCTGACCCACCCTCACCACTCCAGCACCTGTGTGAAAAGCCCGAGACCCCCCAAAGCAGGGAATCACCTTCCAACTGCACTGCGCAGGCAGCAGGGTTGGAGCCCTCCAGGTGGCTGGTCCCCGTGTGGCTCTCCCTGTTGCTATCCTGACCTCAGAGGGTTGAGACAGCACTGGGGTGGGGTGGGCTGAGAGACAGCCACAGTCTTTCCCAACATCCCCATTTCACAGACAAGAAAACAAAGACACAGGAAGGAATGCTGGTGCAACCTCCCAAGGCAGGACCAGGAAGGGG